CTTAAATGTCTATCTATCTATCTTAATACGTGTCCATTATTTTTTGATCATCTAAATGACGGACTAAATAGAATTTCGTTTACTTTACCCCGTCATCATGCCTATTATAATTACTTATACTAACGCTCTGAGGCCCAAGCGCGAATGTTTGTTCGCTCCGTTACATATCATTGACGCTGTAACTAGCTACTTTCAAATACCGGATTTTTTCGATACCGGTATCAATACCGGTATTAGCATGTTCAATACCGTAATCACGGGATCACGGTATTGAATATGAACTCAAAATCAAAGGATATTAAAACGCCCGTTTTATTTCTAATCAGTCTTTATTACTGTTACATAATAGGTACTACATGAAAAACAGAATATTAAACATACATTATTGTGTCCACCCTTAACGGTTAGTGTTTTATTAATAGTTCGGCGGGACTAAGAATTAAACTATTAAAGAAAAAAATACAACGAATATACCGTCTCATTTATTAAACTTCGCATGTCAATCAACATTTAAAAATAATTTATATGGGTAGATTACTTAACAATCATATATTCATTTACTTTCTAAATACACCTGCAAGAACCCAAACCAACCTCACCTTCACGTGGTGCACCCTGTTGACCAACAGACGAGGTTCTGGCAAACCGACCGATGGCGGTATAACCATCCAACGATGTAGCGGACGACGACGTTACGGGATCCCGGAATACCAGTATTGAAAGCCCTAGCTGTAACAACATAATGATTTGTAAATGTTGTTACATTATGCTTTTAATGTTGTGGAGTTTTTTTCGCTCGTTTTTCTCCGCAGCTAAAAAATATGTCCAATAACGAGTGGTAGGGAAAAAAATGTTTGGACGATTCAAAAGTGTTGTACTATACATCCAATTTGAATAAAGATATATTGATTTCTGATTTCTATCGTGTCGCATCTTCAAAGTTTCTATAAAACCTAAGCAAAGCCTCTATCGGGCGTATGAACATACTAGCTTTTTCCATACAAAATTTGACGATGACGGACGGATTTGCGGAGTTAAAAAAAATGGTTTTTGGGCCTCTGCTCTCCAGCAATACGTTCGTCTGTACCATTAGTTATATAGACAGCAGACGTAGAATATAAGCAATAGTGAGTTAACTCCTGGAGTCATTTATTTGGTATTGTTTAGCTTTTACAAAGTCTTTAGCGTTATTATAAGTGTATAAATACTTTTGTCTCACAATCCGCGGATCGGTTGAAAGATCTTCGCGTTTGGACTTAACATCGGGTGGGCTAGAGTCATTTGCCTACCTCACTATAAAAAAAAATGGGTGCGTGTACTTATGTAGGCGCGTGAGAAGTTATCCTTCTTTGGCATCGTTTAAAATTAGTTTTTAATTGCATGCAAATAATTAATTACAATAAATTAATAAAAAGTCTGGAAAGGGACACAGTCAATAAAGTTCAGTTTTAATTTGAAAAAATAAATAAATAATCAAAATATTCAATTAAAATCGCTACTGAATATAATTCATTAGAACATATGTGATTTGCACTTGTATGAAACTCAAACACGTATTCCGAATATACAAACTAGAAACATGTGGATAAATATTATAAATATGAATACCTATAACTGTTACTTTATTACAAAAAATAAAGATGTGGTTTTTGGTTCTACTACACCAATGGTCAAGAGATGGCGCTGTAGTCTCCTGAATCTTGCTTTGGTTCCGTTGTTCCAGATTAATAAATACTTTTGTTAGGCCTTCACAATGCAGTCGTTAGCACCCACAAAATAGAGATTCTATTTCTATTTTGTTGGTAGAATTTCTTAATGTGCGGTAAACACAAAAGTAACAGTTAATTTTTTGTGTTACAGTGATGCGCGCGCATCTTAAAATTTCACTCTCATCATATTTTCATAACGCGCCTAAAGAAGTATAACTTCAAAAAGTAATATGTCATAAATCTAGAGAGGAAACTTTGTGAATATTTTCTCTGTATTATTTCATACAAATCCAAGTAAAAATATATCTCAATATTATTTGTCTTAGGCAAACTAAAACTTTAGTGTAATAAGATAAAGTTATGAAGATTTCGAGTAACGTTTAACATAGTCATCCCCCCTCTCCCCCTGTATTTCCACCTGGGCAGGGTTGTCAATTCATTTGACTATTAGCTTTTATAATAAAACATTTCTATAAGACTGAAAGTAACCAATAAGAAAGATGTCTGTGGATAGCAAACAAATATTTTTTTATGCAATAATTGTAAAATTTTGTAAACGCGTAAAATTATATGCCGGCATAAGTCGATGACAAATAAGCTACAGTAAATATCACATAATATATATGAATATTAATAATTCAAATCTTTCTAGGCAGAACTGAAAAGTGCTTTGCTCTTAGAGCAAAGGTATCGCTGAGTTTTTCCCTTTTTCTGTCGTTGCGGCACACAGTTACATACCTAGTAATTAATTGTTCTATTTGTTTACTTGAATTTGTGTGCTGTACTGATGGGAAAAATGATTTATCTATCTATCTATATCTCTCTAAATCTCAAGATATTTAAATTGTCCTTTGGAAAATCATATAGAGCATTTCTAATTTAACATGATACTTGATTGAACATTAAGATCCATTCTTAATTATTAAAGTCGCTGGCTAATATACATTATATTTTAATAAAACGTGAAAGTTAATAGACTAATATAGACGACCTCCGTGGCCGAGTGGTTGGTACGCTGGGTTTCATGGCGTCGCCGACTCGAGAGGTCCCGGGTTCGAATTCCGGTGGGGGATGTTTGTGTGATGAACACGAGCATTTGTACTCCAGTCATGGATGTTTAATATGTATTTCTATATAAATATACTTATATATGTAAAGTATATGTATTCTATCCGTTATCCTAGTATCCCAAAACACAAGCCTTATAGTGCTTACTTTGGGGCTAGGCTAATGAGGGCTACCGTTTTCTGTCTCACCAGATGGCGCCACTGTTGAGTGAGGTCCTAAATTGTAACTTTTAAAGTTTATTAATACGCACATGAAATCAAAGGTTACATTTAGATCGTATTTTAACACAAAAGAACCATATCCTAAACATAATAGGCCATGCCACAGTGACGCGCAGTTCCGTTTTATTCGGAAAAGATGGGAACATAATCATTTTTCTAAACTCAAATTTTTAATAACTGACATTCATTGCCACATAACTCATATTTGCCATAATTAAGCCGAATCGTTACCAATTATTCACAACATTATTTTAATAAGAAATAAACCCGCGTAGTCAACCAACAAGCAATAACATTTGACATTTCGGAGACCTCACGCTACACTAGCGCCTCTAGCGGCGGATTCATACGCGATAGCCCTCATTGGTGTTAGTGTTGGAAATATATATATTTATTTATTTTATTTATTACAGCCAGCCCTACACCTGAGCGAGCCCGATTAAGGGTCGCATACACGCGCGCGCGGCTCGAGCCTCCTCGACCGCCTTGATTGATGCCTCGCTGATTGCGGCCCTGCTCCCCCCCCCCCCTCCCCTCCCCTCCTCTTCCTTACACTAATAGCGGGTAGATTGATTCCGATTGTTGGAGCCGAAAGTTTATATTTCGGATTTGTACACAGAAAACGGTTGGGGTCAGCTGTCCGCTTCAGTGAATAATGGGCTTAGGGAATAGACCGCCCTTTTGTGAAAAATAGTATGCATCTTAATTTAATATCGTGAAGTTATATTATAACTATAGTTGCTATTTCTTCTTTCAAATGTTTAATACTTGTAAAAGTATTCATTTGACATTGTGGGTTACCTATAATGCGAAGAGATGGCGCTGCCTTGCAGCTTAAGAATGGCTAGGAGAATTTCGACGCGGTCCGTGAGGGTCGCGGTAGCATAATTGGTCAGTGCATTCGCCCGGATTGCGAAGGGTGCGGGTTCGAGTCCCGCCTGCTGCCTGGTCCGCGTGGATTTTTTTCTAGTTATATTTTCTTTAGATTTAAACATCAAGCAGTTATATGCTTTAAAATAATAAAAATTATAATCGTGAATATAATTTTACGCCCGTATTTATATACGGGGTTGGCGGAGCATCAAACTTATGAGACTATAGGACACGGAAACGTCATAAAATTGAAATACTTCACATTAAGTCACTTGTATATTATCATTAAAGCTCATGCTGTCTGTCACTGTTATATTGCTAAAGCAAGAAAGTGACAGACAGCATGAGCTTTAATGAAACTCAAAAATCTATTTATGTCTCTGAACGTGTTGAAGACAGATGAATGTGCAATGGAGCTCACAAAGCTATTTGGTTAAATTTATAAATCATTAATGTTTTTTCAAATCAACATAAATGTTTTTGAAGTGAAACTTCTTTATCGGCGTTGGAAAAAAATTTACCGTCACATTTTTCGGTTACGCGTCACATTTTTCCGTTACGCGCCATCTTTTTTTATATTAATAGTTGATAGCTGAATGATCACACTGTCGCCGGCGAGAACTCTCTCTACTCGTTTGTAGCTGAGTGACAATAGTTATTAAAGATAAGACTCGCTCAGCCAAACTCACATAGCGATACTCGCTCAGCTATACTCGCTCGGTTAAGCTGGCTTGGCTGTCAAAAGCCGTGCGCGTGCATTTTAACTCAGGACTGCCAATTCGTTTCTAGTTTCTACTGGCTTATCGTTCATCGTCGGAGGTGGAACATGTGCCTTAGATTTCTGAGCCGTGTAATCATAACAGTTTCATAGGCAGTAATTTGTATTCATGTCTATGATAATAAAATCCTTTTGTTTAAACTTTATCTAATTTAAATTTATTTAACCAATTTCTGGAAAGTTGCATGTGGATCATTTTTCGAAAAATAAGGCCATAAAGAAGTTTCACTTCTTACGTGTGTACACTAGTACACGCACACATTTTTTTTTACTCGAGTATTTGAATAGTTAACGTACGTATAATACAAACATTAAATCATTTTTCTTAACTGTGCCTTTTTTTGTCTGCAGCGCCGCCAGAATGTGAGGCAGGCCAGCTGACATGCGGGCAGTACGTGTGGAACAAGACGTACTGCATCCCGCCTCACTACCGCTGCGATATGCACGTCGACTGCGTGGATGGCACGGACGAGGCCGACTGCAGTGAGTACCTCGCCTCATTCATATTCATTGTCAATACATTTACTCACCAGATTCTGCTGCAAGAGGAAAGTCACCAATTTCCTGCAAAACCTAAACTATTTTGAAACAGAAAGCCTTATGAATTCTTGAATTACGAGCCAGTCCCACACGCCCCCTCCACACACGCACATTAACACACATACATACGCACACACACACCTCACACATGCACATAAACACGCACACACACACACACACACACACACAAACTCCACACATGCACATAAACACCATACTCACAACTAGCACTACCATATTCCATATCATGCAAAATAATATAAATTTAAGTTTAGATTTTATCGTTGTTCTCCTTTTTTTTGCTTGAACACTCTCTTAAGCGGGGAGAGGCTGGTGCACTGAGACACAGGCGTCAGCTTAGTTTGGTCACCAGTCTCTCTCAATCTTAGACCTAAGTTTTTTAATCTGTTACTCATGAAGCATGTATAAGATTGTGGAGAGAAATAAAGTTCATTATTATTATTATTATATTCATTACGCTTTTCATAATAGCCGATGGCGATGGCCAATGAACTCGTAACATTTCCGAGTGGAGACCAAGAACTGGCCGAAGATAAGTGAGACAACCTATGCGCTGGACTGATGAAATAACTAGACTTGCAACGACTATTCGGTTACTATTCGGTATTCGGCCTATTCGGCTGCTTTTATTATATTCGGCCGAATACCGAATATCTACATATTATTCGGCCGAATACCGAATACTTAAATAATATATTTTGTCATAGAGAAATAATTGGTAAAATGAAAAATTAAAATCGATTGATTACGTATGTATTCATATTTTCATTTCTGTTATATAATCATTTAAGTAGTCATTGGTACATAACACGGGTACATAATCATCTTCTGAATTGGAAAAATGGAGGATTCTATGTACTTGAATTATTGTGGTAATCAAAATTTAGAAGGATAGGTTCTCATTTCTTTTATAATCATTTATTAAGTAGTCACTGGTACGTAAAACAGGTACATAATTTAATCATTTTCTGTATTAAACCAGTCAACAGTTTTTAATTCATTCAGTCGTGTGATGAATGGTTACATAATAGCAATAATTTAAAGTTTACGCGCCGTTTTTGGCCATATCTCAAAAGTTGTCTAAGTCATTTAGCCGCATTTTAGCTTGAGGACGGTAGATTAGAACAAAACAAAGGAGCGCGAAACAATCACGTCTGTACAAGTTTTTGGCGCTAAAATCCAGCCGAATACTTTTGCCTAATATTCGGCTATTCGGTCAGGGGCCTCGCCGAATATTCGGTATTCGGTATACTGCCGAATATACTATTCGTTGCAAGTCTAGAAATAGCCAAGATATTGGTCAAGACCTGGATGCGCGTAGCGAGGAATCGTATCGCGTAGAGAAACCATGAATTGGCGACCAGACAATGGGTGAACCCAGGCTTATGGCATTTTTTTTCATACGCTGGTCAGTGTTTGCGGCTTCTTATATTTATTAGGAAAATTTCCAGGTCGTGCATATATAATAATATAATAATAATAAATATATCTTTATTCAAATAAGGTCATACATTGCATAATAATACTAATCTTAATATATATAAATCTCGTGTCACAATGTTTGTCCTCAATGGACTCCTAAACCACTGAACCGATTATAATAAAATTCGCACACCATGTGCAGTTCGATCCAACTTGAGAGATAGGATAGTTTAAATCTCAAATTATAGTCGCAATTTTAATTTATTGCAAATTATTACTTTTGGGCGGTACGAAGTTCGCCGAGTCAGCTAGTAACAATATAAAGTAAAAAATAATGGATGCCTGAACTAGGTTACAGTTAAAATTGTACCTGTATTTCAGGCTTTTATGATCTAAATAATACATTGAATGATTAATAAATTAACAAATTAATTAAAACAGAACTTAAAGTAATCATTATATAAATGTTGGTAAATGTAAATTATGGAGTTACGTTCATTTATTTACAAATAAGAAGTAATTCTTCGGTCTGCTCGTATGACAGGACATTACTGTGAGAAGGCTTAAGTGTTCTACTTAAGAGATCGAAGTCACGAAGCGTAGTGCTTATTTTAATTGCTATTTTTCCCCCCATTCAACAACCTCTTGGACTGAATGATCATAAAAAAATGTGTGTGTCAGCTCCGACGCACGACCGGAGTTTACACTCTAAAAACGATTGTCTTTGAACAGACACAAAACAAATTCAAGTCCGAAGAAGTCGGTTACAAGTAGAGATACCTCAGGAATCGTCACATGGTATCGACTATCATAGTTTCCATGTCACACATTTTATCATCTAACATCAGCGATATTCATCATATATTTTATTATGTATTTCTGGAAACACACAATTTCAAAAATATCACACACTAGTCATCATTTTGTAAATATGTATTATAATTCCATTTGTACTGAAAGTCACTATTCCAGAGTGCTGGACACTTACCGGCATTTCTATATATTCTGTTATTTATTTGTTTTCATTAGTTTTGCTCCGATTTTATCTATTTTTAGTTTATTTATTTTATTGACATTTGTGACAACTTAATGTTTTTCATCCGTTGCCATGGCTAAAAGTGAAAGGTGCGCAGATGAGGTTGCGCACAAAAACGTAACGAGGTCATTAATGTCATTCATCGATAGATTTTACTCCTCACATTTTTCTCATACCGGGCCCCTTATATATGCAAATCGATTCTTAAGGAGTAAACTCCAATAATTATTATGTTTGATATAAAAACATGAACAAACCTAAAATTATTCAAAAATACCGCTGATGCCTCACTGAAAACTCTTATGCAGCGATTCCTGTGAGGGCACTTCTCTCATTACCACGCTTACTTAAATAAACCCGAGCTCCGAAATACTGCCCCATTTCTTTTTAAAGAACTTGTAAACGGAATATCACAGCCAGTACAACCTGACCCTTCGCTCCGGCTATAAACGAACTAGATCCAGGGCAGATTTCTGTGTGTTAGGGTTCAGCTATAACTGGAGACCAGCTCCGAACAAGTGGGTAAGTTTTAATGGTGTGGAAATTGCGTTTTTGTTTGGTACCGTATCGCTGATGTGCTGTTTTCATGTAAATCTGTTGTCGTCGCCCAAGTTCCCAAATGAACCGCCCAGATTCGAAGAAATTGGATGGAGAGTTTTGAATTCGAGCAGAGATACTTTGTTAATAAACTTTGAATTCGTACGATGTGGCCATCGAGTTTATTTCGTGCTAATGAAAGTTCCGCAAGAAGTGCAAAACATTGCAACATCAAAAGGAATGCCGAATTGCGTGATTCGAGGATTATATAATTAGGTTACAGGACATCGACGAAATCGGCCCTAGCATGCCCAAAAGAATGTCCTTCACTATTATTTTTCTATTATTTTTTTAATTTTTTAGCAAATAATCATGGTAAACGGACAATCAGTTTAAAAAAATAAAAAAATGGGTGCGTGTACTTATGTAGGCGCGTGAGAAGTTATCCTTCTTTGGCATCGTTTAAAATTAGTTTTTAATTGCATGCAAATAATTAATTACAATAAATTAATAAAAAGTCTGGAAAAGGACACAGTCAATAAAGTTCAGTTTTAATTTGAAAAAATAAATAAATAATCAAAATATTCAATTAAAATCGCTACTGAATATAATTTATTAGAACATATGTGATTTGCACTTGTATGAAACTCAAACACGTATTCCGAATATACAAACTAGAAACATGTGGATAAATATTATAAATATGAATACCTATAACTGTTACTTTATTACAAAAAATAAAGATGTGGTTTTTGGTTCTACTACACCAATGGTCAAGAGATGGCGCTGTAGTCTCCTGAATCGCGCTTTGGTTCCGTTGTTCCAGATTAATAAATACTTTTGATAGGCCTTCACGATGCAGTCGTTAGCACCCACTAAATAGAGATTCTATTTCTATTTTGTTGGTAGATTTTCTTAATGTGCGGTAAACACAAAAGTAAATATTCATGCTCTTAATTTTTGTGTTACAGTGATGCGCGCGCATCTTAAAATTTCACTCTCATCATTTTTTCATAACACGCCTAAAGAAGTATAACTTCAAAAACTAAAGTTCTGTTACTAGATACTACAGTCTGTTCATTCTAACTTGTCCTATTTGGTAAACAATCTTGGCACTCTTTTTATTGAAAATACAGCATTAAAATCAACTAATAACTGGATTGATTAGGTTTCTGTCTATAATGACGATTTATATTAATAGTTTATTGGCTTCGTTATTATTTAATTTTAAATGGGTGATTTTGTTAAAAAGTTGTGCCAAGATTGTTTACCTTAATCTATGATTACAACAGGTAGGTATAGGTATCATAGGTGCCAACTACCAACACTCATAAATGAATATGAATATAAGCATTTTTTATTTATATTATTAATTGCATTTTATGTTCATTTAATGCATATTATTTAAGTGCTTACATAGAGGTAAACACTAAATCTATTCAGAATATATAAAGTGTACATCTTTTACGATTAAGTATAATAATTATAACCTTAAAATCTAATACATTCTGTAGTAGGTCACGGTTCCTCAAGTTGTCCGTATCTCAACAAATGCCTAATTAGAGTTTATGAATGATTCCGAACACAACTAGCATTTTCTCATTGCTGTGCGTTCTAGGGCATTCAATGTACGGGGAACGAGCAATGTCTATTATATGCTTGTCTAGCCTACCCTACATATTTAGCGATATACCTACTCGTAATATTTAACGGGAGATATTAAACCATTTGAATAATAATAAGTAACACTAATATGTCGATGTTTAGAATATGACACCAATAGTGCTCAAAGAAATTGCGCCAAAAACTTATATTTATATAATTCAAGGTAAAGATTCAAATTCTGCATTGTGTATCTCATTACGGGATCGTGGTCATACCTCTTTTTTTAAACCAACGCGGGTAGTTTTAACTGTTCCCGTTAAAT